GCCTCCAGTCCGAACGCCTGGGCCACCCGCGGGACGGTTTTGTCATCTGCGCGATATGTTTGAGCCGCGTTGCTGCCAGCGCCTCCGCTGCCTCCGCCACCACCTGGCCCACCAGCACTGGCCTTGGGCGGCGCGGGGACTCGATGAACTGATCGAGGCGCTGCTGCAGCTCGGCGAAGTGCTTCTCCAGCTTGTTGCTCTGGCGCTCGCCAGCGGGTTTGAACATACCACCACCATTCCTAGTACATGCAAAAACCCTAATAAGGACGCGCGGTAAGGACGCAAGACCCTTGGAAGCCGAAGTTGGGATTTTTGGGGCGGCGGACGACGAAAACCTCAAGGACGCAAGAGCAAGGAAGAGCAGGGACGCAAGGGTACCCTGAGCAAAGTCGCGCATCCTTATTAGGGTTTTTGACTGCAGTAGCCCCACGCCCACCAGCAGCACCGTTCGCGACAGACGTGGCCCTGTCCACGCCGTGCTCGCACGCCGCAGCTCCGCAGCGGCACCGAGGCCTGCACGCCCCGTTGGGCGAGAGCCCACAGTCCTGGCACTACCACGGGGGCATCCGCGGTCCCCTGATGGCGTCGTTCATCTGCTCCTGCAGGGGCTCGCACCAACGGCGGCTGGTCCCTCCAGGAGCTCACAAAAGGGAGAGCAAAGAGCCAGCGATGGCCCGCAACCGCACTTGGCCGTTCTGAAGAGGCATGCCGCTGCAAGCCCGAGGGACCCTCGGGCCAGAACGGCTGGCGGGAGGAGGAAGAGGACGGCGGGAGGAAGGGAGAGAGAGGGAGGATGTGTAGAATGAGGAGGAGGGGGATGATGGAGGGGGAGGGGGATGAAGGAGGCAAACGACGAGGAGGAGCAAGAGGAGGAGGAGGAGGACGACGACGATAACGAGGAGAGAGGAGTGACGAGGAGAAGGAGGAGGAGGAAGAAGAAACATAGGACCAGAGTAAACAAACCCAGAATGCAACAACGCTGCTGCAACATGTCCTCGCGTCAGAAGTCGCCTGCTCACAACTCCCTACGAGCAAGCACATCCACTACAGGAGCGCCCCCTTCACAGGCGAGCGCCCCATGCGCATGAACTTCAGAAGAGAGCCCTGTCCTGAAAAGGAACTGCCCCGCATCCATCTAGCGAAAAGGGCCAAAAACGAATGAGTGGGAGGAGATGGACCATAGCGCCCCAAAAAATGAGCCCACGTGTTCAGGAGGAGCCGCCCTCCATCCGAAACTGCTGCAGAAATTCTACTTTTTCTCGCATTGATTGGGGAGGTCCCGAATGTAAAGGGGCCCTGGGACACACAAATGAATAGACACACAGGACTCCCCATCATTTTCCCATATCTTCTGGATTTCGTCTTCCCCACCACTTCCCACATTTTCCCATACTCTCTTGGGAATCGACGATCCATTGTGCCTGTGCATGTTTTTTCCCCCCTGAGAATGTAAAGCCCCGGACCGAGAAGGCACCGCCCTCCGCCCGCGCCGTCGCTGCACGACTGCTGCACGCCTGGCCCCCCTGCCGTGCGGGCGCCCCAGAGCGAGGCGCCACACCTGCTGGCCATATCGCTCGGACGCCCACCCCCTGTGCTTTTGTCCGGTTTCGTGCGTGGCTTTTCTCTCAAGGGGACGTAAGACCTGGGTACAGGGGACTCGGAAATCTCCGACGAGGTCGCCAAAAAAATGACGAGGCCGAGCCTGCATGTTGACGAGGCCTCCCGCCTGCAGACATCCCACGAAACTCCTCCTCCTCCTCAAAATCCGAGGCGCGGTCGTCAAAAAACGATGGCGAACCCGAGTCCTGGCAAACCCGGGTCTTACGCTCCCCCGATTCTCGCCAGATGAGCAAAGGGTGCTCTTCGAGGGCCCTCGCCGCGAAAAAAAAGTGCGCACGCCTCGAGCGAGGCGCGCCACGCCCGAGCAGCGGCCGCCCTCCAACCGCCGTGACTGCTGCGGGGCCTGCTTCGGGGGGCGCCCGTGCGCGGCGCGCCAGGGCGAGAGCCCCACGCTCGGAACCTGCTCGCCCTCCACGCGAACGGGGGGGGATAGCAAAGGGGGGAGGTGAGAATCGGCTCACGGAGCTGACTTTCCCGGCGAAAACGACGCGAAGATCGGGACAAAATCGGATCGGGATGACTCGAAATCTCCGAGAATCGGCGGGTTTGGAGGATGTTTTGGGCGCCGCGGCCGCTCCAGAGCGTTCCGGAACGCTCTGAGAGCGCTCCGGAACGCTCTGGAGCGATTTATCCCAATCCTAGCCCTGTTTTAGATAGCAAAGGGGGGGGTGAGAATCAGCTCACGGATCTGACTTTCCCGGCGCCTCCCGGCGCCGGGAGGCGGCCACGTGTCGAGACATGGGCCCCTCGGTGGGGCCGGCACCAGCTGCATGCAGCAGATTTCGTACCCCCCCTCTTTCCCAATCCCCCCCTTTCCCACGCACCGCTTGGTGTATGGTTTGTCAGTCAGTCCCAATCCCCCCCTTTCGTCCAGCCCGATTGTAACCTGAGAAGGCGCTTGAGACGAACGCTCACGGCGCCGAAGCAAAAGCCACAGGTCAGAAACACTGGCCATCAGATGGACGCGGCGCTGTGACGATAGCCGCGCGTTGAAGACCACTGGCCTCCTAGCTGAAGGATCAAGAGCGATGGGGAAGTCTGAGGCGAAGCGCTCTGCAAGCACCAAAGACATGCCGGGCGACAAGGGGAGAGCCAGTTACTCCAGGAAGGGGGATGTGGGAAGGGGAAGGAAAGCGAAAGGGGGACTAAGAAGAGAAAGAGGAAAGATGAGGAAGAGGGAGGAAAAAAAGAAAGAGGAAGGAGTGGGAGGAGGGGGAGGAGGCAGGAGGAGCGAGGAGGAGGGCGCGAGGATGAGGGACAGGAGAGAGAAGCAGGGAGGAGGGAAGAGGAGAGAGAATGGAGAATCAGATGCTCGCTCTGGGACCTTCCTGGAGCCACTCGCTCCACTCGCGCGTCGGTGCTGCGCAGAACGTCCGTCTACTTGAGTCGAATTTCAGCCTGCCTAGAGTCGAGCTAGAGTCGAGCTAGAGTCGAGCCAGAGTCGAGCCAGAGTCGAACGGCCCCAGAGAAGTCCCCCCAAACTGCGAGGCGGGGTTCTATCCATATCCACCGCCTGGGAACCGACGTCCTGGTGCCCCGGCGGGCGGTGGGACCTGGGACATGGACACACTTTGGCCCCCGGGGGCCCGAACATGTCCACATCCACCGCCTGCCGAGGTCCCCGGGAGTCGATCCTCCAGGCGGTAATCGTATATAAATCCCTACCTCGGACAAACGAGCATCCGAGTAGGATGAAGTCGGGCCTGTCCCTCTTCCGGGCGAACATTCAAAAATAGTGGAAAACATAGTCTGGGTACGATGTTTTTTTAATATTTTGTTTTGCCATTTTGGAATATGTTTTAATATGAGACCAGAAAAAAGCCCCAATCTAGGGCTATTGAGCTATAGGGCTATAGGGCTATAGGGCTATAGAGCTGCAGGGCTATAGGGCTATTGGGCTATGGGGCTATAGGGCACCCCCAGGCAGCCCCAGGAACCCCCGGGCACGCCCGGGCACCTGGGCACCCGGGCACCCCCGGGCACGCTCGGGCACGCCCGGGCACACCCGGGCACCCGGGCACCCGGGCACCCCCGGGCACCCGGGCACCCCTGGGCACCCAGGCACCCGGGCGTGCGGCGAAAATCGGCGGCAAACCGAACCTAACCACATGAATCCGGCAGGACCCCTACGGAGGCAAGCTCTGCTTGGGGATTTTTCCGTCGACATTCCCCCTGTATAGGGAGACACGACCGACTTAAGGGTAGGAGGCGGTTCGAGGGCGCAGCCGGGGCCTCCTCCAGAGGTCGGGGATCTTCTGACCCTTGTCAATCCAGACCCGGGTCAATCAGGCTTGCAAAATCCTGCAAGATCCTGCACCCAAACCCGGGTCAATGCGCGAAGGATCCTGCAAGATCCTGCAGGGATCCTGCAGCCCAACCCGGGCCAATGCGATCCTGGCGCTGCAAGATCCTGCAAGATCCGGCGCTCTGGCTGACCCCCGTCTGCACTGACCCCCGTCTCGAGGCTCCCGCCCAGGGTCGGCGGAACCTGCCGTAAGGCCTGTGCAATGAGGAAGGAGGTGGAGAAGAATGAGGAGGAGGAGGAGGAGGAGGAGGAGGAGGAGGAGCCGGGGACCTCCCGTGGGAGCCCCGGGGGGCCCTCCTGGGGCCGCTCGTCGCCCAGCCTCGCGGAGGGGGGGGGGCCTCTCTCGCTCTGGACGCGCCCCCGGTGGCCTCCATCGGCTCCTCACGGTGCCCCCGGGCACTGCGGCACTGCACCAACCCTGCAGGCGTGCTGCCGCGGACTCTTGCGCGAGTTCCTGTCAGTGCGAAGCCCCGAAGCGGCGAGCGGAAAGCGAAGTGAATCGCGCGTGGACACGTGTTGCGTCTGCACTCCTGGCCCAAAAAATCCGCACGGAAGTCACTTCGAAATCCGGAGCGAAAGTCTCCAGGACTCTGCGGGTCCATCCGACTGAAATCCGGACGAAATACGCTCTGCGATGTTGGCGCCTTGACTATCTCTGGGCCCTGCTCCGGCGAACAGGCGGCGACACTCGAAAACAGCGGCACGCGTGAACTTGGACGCGCCCCGTGAGCTCGGACGCGCAACGGGAGCACAGACGTCACGGGCAGCACCCCGTCGAGGTGACGGGCAGGGAGGGGCCAAACATTCGTGGCCATGAGCAAGCATGTAGGCCGAAACGTCGAGTGTCGATCGGGGTCACCGCCCACCTTGGTCGTGGTCGATTCTTGGATCATCCTCGCGGGTCAGCGGCGCTCGGCATGGACCGTGACCAGGATCGGCGTCGACAGGACCCCGCGACGTCTTGGCCGTGGCCGACGTGCTCCCTCCCTCGATCCTGGTTCGCGCCTGGCCCGCCCCCCCGCGGCTGCTGGGACGGGAAAGGCCCCCCCCCCCGACGAGCCCCGGGCGGGCGCGCCTTCAGCTGCTGGTCCGTGCCGCAGGTCACCACGATGCGGCGGCACCGCGCGACGCCCATGCCGCTGACGGGCCTGGCTGCGGGCCCCTCGCCGACGCCGCCGCCGCCGCCGTCACGGCGCGGCGGCACTGCGCGACGCCTCCCACAGCGCAGGGTTCGGTGGCTGCTCGGGCTCGGCGGTCGCTACCACGACATGCTCTTAGAACCCAGACATGCTCTGAGAACAGCAGCGGTGCTCTTAGAACACGAGCCCCCGATGTGTCAAAGCAAGGCAGGCCCAGCTAGAAATGCTCCAAGAGCAGCTCGCGCAGACCACAGGAGGTCCTTTTAGAACATCACATGGTGCCCCGTAGTAAAACGACGCGAAGATCGGGACAAAATCGGATCGGGATAACTCGAAATCTCTGAGAATCGGCGGGTTTGGAGGATGTATTGGGCGCCGCGGCCGCTCCAGAGCGTTCCGGAACGCTCTGAGAGCGCTCCGGAACGCTCTGGAGCGATTTATCCCAATCCTAGCCCTGTTTTAGATAGCAAAGGGGGGGGGTGAGAATCAGCTCACGGATCTGATTTTCCCGGCGCCTCCCGTGTCGAGACATGGGCCCCTCGGCGGTGGGTTTGGAGGAGCGCCGCGGCCGCTCCAGAGCGTTCCGGAACGGTCTGACAGCGCTCCGGAACGCTCTGGAGCGATTTACCCCGATCCTAGCCCTGTTTTAAAGGGGTGCGCCCCGGCCCAGCGGAGAAGAAGGCGGTTGGAAGAGGGGGCTCGCTAAACCACTTGTCGCCCCACCCCCAAGGCGTCCGAAAGCGGACCTCCCTCACTCCCAGGGAAGTCCGCCGACGGACTTCCCTTCACTCCCGACGGACTCGCTCACCCATTCTTACCCGGCGCCGGTTAGGAGGAGGCGCGGAGGAGGAGGAGGCCCTGTTTTACGTAGGCGAGCCAGGACGGCTCGCCACGGCTTGACAGAGGTGCCGATGCGGCGAGCCCCGGTCCTCTCCCCGGGCGCGTCCCGCCCAGATAGTTAATGTCGAGGCGAATCCCGCGGGTGGGGGCGGGGGCCTCCCAGGAGGCCCAGGGAGGCGAAAAATCGAGGCAGGGGTACAGTCGGGGCCTTGACCTAAGGAACCCATAACAAGGAACGAGGCCCCTTTTTTTCCATAAGTTTACCTTCGATGTCCGATCGAAAACATAAGGAAAACCTGAGGCACGCTGCGAAACACTTAAGGAACGCGGAGCCCCTCCCCAACGAAAAGGGTTCTTTCTTCAGGGCCCCGCGAAAACAGGGCGGGGTTACGGTCATCGGCCGGACCTAAGGAACGATACATAAGGAACGAAGCCCCGTATTTTTCCCAAGGAGGAACGCAGAAGGAAGGATCTATAACAAATAACGCATTAAGGAATGATGAATAACGCATGCAAGCCTAAGGAACGACCGAGCCTCTTTTGAAAAGGAAGTGTTCCTTATTCAAGCCGCTCACTGTAGGGGCACGGGCACGTGTCCTCCTGAAGCACATTCCATGCTGAGCCTATGGCCCCCTGTCGTTCCCCCTGACCCTCCGCTCCTTTCGCTCCCTGGCGTTCGGCCCATTGCTCAGTCCTCTGGCGGCCGCTCAGGACCACCCTGGCACCCCTGGAACGCTCTCGACGAGGCGCAGCTGCTGGAACGCACCCCGAGGCTGCAGAAACCGCCGAGATCGGACGGAGACGCCCGAAAACACTGGGCCCGAGCCTATCTCACCCTACCCTTGAGCCTCGGGCCTCGAACGCTCTCGAAGAAAGCTTCAGAGCCTTCCCCCTGGAGCCTCTCCCCCCTGGCGGAGCAGACGAGGAGGTGGCACGAGGGGGGGGGCCTTCTGAGGTGGCAGGTCTAAGAAGGCCAGGGGGCCTTCTCAGAGAAGGGCCGGAGGCCTCTGAGAACGCCTCTTGGAAGCCTCCGGGACCACCTGCATACAGAGGCCTCCCAGGCGGGCAGACAGGGCCCGAGGGTCGCGCCGCATCCACGGTGCATCGCCGATGCACGTGAGCGTTTGTTTCACTCGGCGTTTCGACATGTTGGGCATTTTTTGAGGTGTGCGCGTGGTTCACGCAGATGGGGTCCTGGGGAATGGGGTCCCAAGGACGAGGTGCCTCAAGCAATGTAAGTCTCGCAGGCTTGGACATGGGCACCGACACCAAATAATCAGGGGGTGCGCCCACGGGGGGAGGATGGTCCTAGATTTCGGTGCTGGTGGTAATCTTTCGGCCACCTAGGAAGCCCGAAGACTACCACCGTCACCGAGGTCGGGGTCATCTTCCCTCGGTGGAGGCATACCGCTGATATTGGTGTTGGTGTCAACCTCTCGTTGCACGGGCCTTGCAGACGTGCTGCAGCGGATTCCTGCGTGGATTTCTGCGTGGAGTCTTGCTCGAAAAGGCGAGCGAAAAATGAAGTGCATTTCGCGTGGATTTGTTGTAGTCTTCATTCCTGGCCAAAAATATCCGCACGAGATTCACCTCGAAACCCGGCGCGAAACTCTCCAGGACACTCTGGGCCCATCCCAAGGTTTTCCGAACGACCTCCGCTCTGCGATGCTGGCGCCATGAAACCTCCAGGCCTCCAAAAGTCCACCATCCCACATCGAGAGCGGCCAAGAGAGTGGGGGGGGGGTCCAAGAGGGGGGGTGCAAATCATGAGCGGCGGCATGTGCGCGGCCCAGGTGGGGGGGCCAGGGACGTAATGCAATGACATAAGAAGAGGCGCCCTGAAATCTGGGGAGATATCATGGCCCCCGCCATGCTACCCACCCCCGCTATAGTCATCACCCCCCTCTTTGCCGCCCCCGAAGGACTCCACCGTTGAACCTCGGGGATCTTCTGACCCGGGTCATTCCAGACCCGGGTCAGCAGGAAACCAAAAAACTGCAATGCAGGAACAAAAAACTGCAACGCGGGTCTTCGCAAACCCGGGTCAACCAACATATGCGCGGCCGCCTCGCGGCCACGAGCGGCTCGCTGACCCGGGTCGGCCAGAGGGGGTCTTCGCAGGATCCTGCAGGCTCCGGTGTCCTGACTGACCCCCGTTTGCACTGACCCCCGTCTCAAGGCTCCCGATGAACCACCGAGCGTGCCCCTTTGGACGCCCGAGATGGGTACGGAAAGAATGGGTACAATGCCCAACAACAAATGTTGTCCCAAACCAGCAGCGGCCGCTGTTGGGCAGGCGGCCTTCTGTCTCGAGTGGGCACAGGCCGCGGCGGCGTGGACAGCGAGTCCTGTTCAAAATGAACAAAATCCGCTGTTGGGCATTGTACCCGTTCTTTCCGTACCCATCCCGTCCGTGCCGATACGAAGAGGGAACTTGGAGAGAGGTTTTTCTGCAACATCGTCGATGCGTCTTGGGCTTACGCTGGTCCTCCTCCTCCTCCTCGGCCTCCTCCTGGGGGGGCGCTCCTCCTTGCCATCTCGCTCCGCCCCTGCACCGATGACTGGCTGGGCGGGGGAGCCACCTTGCCTTAGGTCGGGCCTTGGGTCGGGCCACTATTTCCGTGCCCATCTCGTTCGTGCAGAGCCCGCGGCCGCGGCGGCGTGGACAGCGAGTCCTGTTCAAAATGAACAGGAACTGCTGTTGGGCATTGTACCCATTCTTTCCGTGCCCATTTCGTTCGTGCAGCTGGCCATCGCTCGGACGTCGAGTCCATTCCCTGTGCTTTTTCCGGTTTCGTGCGTGGCTTTTCCGCCAGATGATCAAGGATGCTCCTCGATGGCCCTCGCCGAGAAAAAAATGCACACGTCCGAGCGATGCCAGGAGGAAAAGCCTACCCCCTTTGGGTGGCCCGGAGCTCGGCCCGCAGAGCTCGGGGCCCTCCCGGACATGGCTGCCCCTCACCCTTTGCGCCTGCACGGAGAGCCGCCGTTGATGCCCGGAGGCGGGCGGCGCAGTGCCAGAACCGCCTCCTCCCCATCCTCCTCCTCCTCCTCCTCCTCCTCCTCCTCCTCCTCCTCCTCCTCCTCCTCCTCCTCCTCCTGCTCCTCATTGTCTTCCTCCTCCTCCTCCTCATCATCATCATTATTATTATTGTCTTCCTCCTCCTCCTCCTCCTCATTATCTTCCTCCTCCTCATCATTATCTTCCTCCTCCTCCTCCTCCTTCTCCTCCTCCTCCTCCTCCTCCTCCATCCCTTTTCCTTATGAAAAACTTCTCCCTGTCGCACCCCGAGGCCAGTTTTTCAGGGCGGGCCGGGCGTTTCGTCTGAGGCTTCCTCACCATGTATGACTCAGAAGCTTAGAAGTTGGCAGCAGTTTCACAGATGGAGAGGCTCTCGCTTTAGCGCGACATACATTCGCTTTAAGAATTTGCAAGAGATTCACGGATAAAGGGCGGGTGGTTTTCAAAATGTGGCTGTCGCCTTAGCGCGGCGCACATTCGTTTTACACATTTGCAACAGTTTCACGGATTGAGGGCGGGTGGTTTTCAAAATGTGGCTCTCGCCTCAGCGCGGCGCACATTCGTTCTAAGACTTTGCAACAGCTTCACGGATTGAGGGCGGCTCCTTTTCGAAATGTGGCTCTCGCCTCAGCGCCGCGCACATTCCTTTACAAGAACTACACGAGTTTCACGGATTCCCATCATCAACGTACCAGAAATGGTGTTTTGAAAGGCCTCAGGAAAACGCGGACGCAACAGTTACATTGATTCGCTGTGTTGAAGTGAGTCCCAGGGATGGCGTGCTGGCACGATTCAGAATCGTCAACACGCAACGGTCAGGTTGATCCGTGGCGCTGGAATCCCGAGAACAATGGTTTGGCATGCTTCAGGGTCTTCAAACGGTTGTCTTCCAACGAAGCATTCCCTCCATGGAAATGAACCGTCGCAGGGGCCCTGTGAGAAGAGGGAGCTTGGAGGGAGGGTTTATTCCAGCATCGTTGAGGACTCTTGGGTTTGCACTGGTCCTCCTCCTCCTCCTCCTCCTCCTCAGCTTCCTCTTCCCACCTCCTGCTTCAAGAGACCCCGTTGTGCTTCGCACGGGGGGAATGGGCACCTCCTGGAACCCTTGGAAGACTGGGACGACCTGGGAGCCTTGGAGAACTTCTCCGGGGCCTCTGGAGCCACCACTCAAGGACCATCAGGCGCCCTCTCTTGGCCTCGTTGAGGGCCCCTTGGGGGGGTCAGAATCGTCCGAGGGAATTCTGGGTCCGCTAAGAGGGCCCTGGGGCCTTCTGACAAATCGTGGGCACACCTTTGGGCCCCAATGGTGTGCCCACCTTTGTCTGACAAATCGTGGGCACACCTTTGGGGGAAGTTGGAGCCGTCCTGACCCAGATTCCTCCTCAATCTTTCTCTTCCTTCTGAGGGGTAACGTTAGGAGGGGACCGGCTAAGGGGGGGAACATCGAGCTGGAATCGGCGACACATCGCCGATAGATCGGCGATAGGCCCCCGACAGCCAATCCGCACGATCCTCGGCGGGGTGGGTCATCAGGCCCCTGCCAGCGATGAATGGGCGATTGGGGGCCGATGCATCCCCCCTGAAACTATCCATCCCTGACGTTGCCCCTGACCTTCTCTCCCTCCGAGCGTCAGCAGCCCACCCGTGATGGTTGCTGTGGGATCCCAGCGCGTGCACCGGGGCGAACACCTCCAGCTGGCCGGTGGCGGCAAGGTCTGCCTGCCGAAGAGCAGCGCCGAGCATCCCCGCCTCCGAGACCATTCTCCGCCTCGTTCTCGACCGCCACCATATCTTCAACCACTCTCATCAAACCTTCTCCTCATCATCAGCCCCTTGCCCTTCTCCTTCACCAGCTCATAATGTTAATCATCCTCTGCATCCCCTCCCCCTTCCCCTCCTCCTCCTCATCCTCATCCTCCTCACCAGCACCACGACCATCACCACCACCACCACCATCATCCCATCATCATCATCATCATCATCATCATCATCATCATCATCATCATCATCAGCAGCAGCAGCAGCAGCAGCATCAGCATCATCATTATCAGCAGAAGCATCATCATCATCAACATCATCATCATCACCAGCAGCAGCAGCAGCATCAACATCACCATCGTCATCTTCATCTTCATCATCATCATCATCATCATCATCATCATCATCATCATCATCATCATCATCATCGTCATCATCGTCATCATCCTCATCATCATCATCATCATCATCATCATCATCATCATCATCATCACACTCGTCGTTATCGTCATCATGATTATGATCATGAACATCATCATCATCCTCATCATCAGCATCAGCATCGTCATCATCCTCATGATCGACCAACATCACCATTATCATTATCATCAGCAACATCATCCTCCTCATCCTCCTCATCGTCACCGGCATCATCAGCATCATCAGCATCCTAAGCATCAGCATCAGCATCAGCATCATCATCATAATCAGCATCGTCATCATCATCATCAGCATCACCATCATCTGCATCATCAGAATCAATCACCATAATCGTTATCACCATCATCACCACAATCAGCACCATCATCATCATCGTCAGCATCAACATCATCACCTGTACAATCATTATAGTCATCATCATAGACACCAGCATCATCATCACAACCAGCATCAGCATCAGCAGCATCAGCAGCATCATCATCGTCATTATTATTATCATCGTCGTGAGCATCATCATCAGCATCATCATGATCAGCAAAATCGTCATCATCATCACCAGCAACAGCATCAACAGCGTCAGCATGATCATCATGATCATCATCATCACCACATCATCATCATCATCCTCATCAACATCATTATCATCATCATCATCATCATCATCATCATCAGCATCATCATCATCATCATCATCAAAATCGCCATCATCATAAGCAGCATCATCAGCATCAGCATCATCACTATCATCACCACAATATTCATCATCATCATCATCATCATCATCATCATCATCATCATCATCATCATCATCATCATCATCATCATCATCATCATCATCATCATCATCTGCATCAGCATCGTCCTAATCAGCATCCCCGCTCGAAACAGGTGTCAAAAACAGCCAAGGTCTGCTCCACGGGGGGGAAAGGGGGGGGAGGGGGGCCCGCGCCGATCGGCAAAACAATGGATAAAAAAAACACGATCACGTACCCGAACGTGGAACTGGTGGCTGTCTGGGGGGGGCGATCCACCGGGCGTGGGGGAGGGTTATGCCTTCCTGGCGGGGGTAACGCGGTTGTCTTGGTAGCCCCGCCCCCCCCCCCCACCCACCCACCCACCGTACAGCGACCTCCCCACCACTTGCTTTATGCTGGCTTGGATATAGAGGCAATGGATAGCGGTAGGCAACAGCGGCTCCGCTCGGCTGGCGGTAGGCTGCGAGAGCTGCAACCAGACATGCGCCAGAAGACAGTGACGAAGCTGGGGTAGAGATGGCAGCGTGCTGCGACGGTCCATACGGTGGGCGGCGAGGTGCGAACTGAGCGGCAAGAGAGCGATACATGGGATGGTGTTTATCGAGCTGCTGACTGCGGCCACTCCTCCTCCTCCTCCTCCTCCTCCTCCTCCTCCTCCTCCTCCTCCTCCTCCTCCTCCTCCTCCTCCTCCTCCCCCTCTTCCTCCTCCCCCTCTTCCTCCTCCCCCCTCTCCTCCTCCCTTCTCCTCCTTCTCCTCCTTCTCCTCCTCCTCCTCCTCCTCCTCCCCCTCTCCTCCCTCCTCCCTCCTGCCTCCTCCCTCCTCCCTCGTCCCTCCTCCCTCCTCCCTCCCTTTCCCCCCAAGACTCCACCGCACGCATCGCCCCCACCTCACGAGACTCCCTATAGGCAGCCCGACGCCTCTCCCCGGGGGCGCCGGGGAAGCTCCCCAGGGCTCCCAAGACGACGCGGCACGGCCACGGAGGCCGCCAAGGTGGCCACCAGGACGGCCCAGGATGGCCACCGAGGCCACCAGGAGGGCCCAGGATGGCCACCAGGATGGACGCCAAGATGGCCACCGAGGCCGCCAAGACGGCCCAGGATGGCCACCAAGGTCGCCAAGATTGCCGCCAAGATGGCCGCCAAGATGGCCACCAAGGCCGCCAAGACGGCCCAGGATGGCCACCAAGGCCGCCAAGATGGCCGCCAAGATGGCCACCAAGGCCGCCAAGACGGCCTGGTCACCAAGGCCGCCAAGACGGCCCAGGATGGCCAAGATGGCCCAAGTATGGCCACCAAGGCCGCCCGCATTGCCTACAGAATCCCACAGCAGACCAAAAGAAGACCCCAAGGGGTGCCAGAGCGGCGGCAAGAGGCTTCTCCGGATAAAGGTGATAAAACAAAGATGACCTCCAGGCAGGGCTGGACCCGGAAAAAGGTTTTCCGTTACCGTGTTGTGTGCGTTGTCCCTCGCCAGTTAAATATCCTCACACCCCCTGACTTACGAAATATCCTCCCCCCTGGCCTAAAACTGCCAGCGAAATATCCTAACACCCATCGTTTAAAACTGCCAGCGAAACATCATCACACCCCTCGCTTAAAACTGTCAGCGAAATATCCTCACACCCCTCGCTGAAAACTGCCAGCGAAATATCCTCACACCCCTCGCAAAAAACTGCCAGCGAAATATCATCACATCCCTCGCTTAAAACTGCCAGGGAAATATCCTCACACCCCTCGCTGAAAAATGCCAGCGACATATCCTCACATCCCTCGCTTAAAGCTGCCAGCGAAATATCCTCACACCCCCTGACATAAAACTGCCAGCGAAAAATCCGGATCCCCTCGCATAACACTGCCAACGACATATCCTCGACCCCCTGACTCAAAACTGCCAGCGACATATCCTCACACCCCTCGCTTAAGCCCCCCCGCGAAGCATCGTCACCCCCCCGATTTAAAACTGTCAGCGAAATATCCTCACACCCCAGGCCAGAAACTGCCAGCGAAATATCCCCACACCCCTCGCATAAAACTGCCAGCGACATATCCCCACCCCCTGACATAAAACTGTCAGCGGGGTATCTTCGACCCCCTAACGTAAAACTACCAGCGAACAACTTCTCACACCCGTCGCTTTTAACTTCCAGCGAAATATCCTTACACCCCTCGCTTCGAAATGCCAGCGAAATACCATCGCACCCCTCGTATAAAACTGCTGGCGAAAAATCCTCACACCCCTCGCATAAAACTGCCAGCGAAATACCATCACCTCAGGAAATTAAACTGCCAGCGAAATGTGAGCATTTTTTTATTCTGGGTTCCGGCTTTAGGCGCATGGGGGGGAGGGGGGGGGGGTCCGGCTCTCGGCCCGTAGTCAATGCCTCCGATTGAATCATGTGGGGAATCCTGTGGGAGATGCCGATGAGGGAATCCTAGGGGGGACCCCCCATGGAGGAATCGCGCAGCGGCTGCGCGGGGCTGCGCCAAGGCTATGCGTGATTTGGCAAGCCTGTGCCAGAATTGCTAGGGATCACCTATTCATGATTCCACGAGGCCGTCGCTGGCATAACAGGGGAGGGCCCAGCCGGAGGCATGCTTTCTGGCGATCGGGTCTGGCGCCCCTGAGCCCTTTCGTTGTGGTTCCAGAAGAGTAGCACGATAAAATGCGCACAGTTGCACACATCAGCGATTCGAGTCTCTACCGGGGGAGGGGGGGGGGGGCGCCGGCCCCTGTAGTTCGTCCGATCGATTGAAGCAGGTGCCAAAATCAGCCCGGAACTTCTCTACGGGAGGGGGGGGGGGGGGGAGGGGCGTTCCGCCGAAAGCAAAAACAAATAATAAAATAATGCTCACAATATCCTCACCCCCCTGATTAGAACTGCCGAAATATCCACACACACACACACCCTGGCCTGAAACTGCCAGCGAAACATCCTTACACCCTCTCTTAAAACTGCCAGCGACATATCCTCACACCCCTCGCTTAAAACTGCCAGCGACATATCCTCAACCCCCTGACTTACAACTGCCAGCGAAACGATCCTCACACCCCTCGCATTAAAAATGCAAGCGAAAAAAACCAAACCCCAATACAAAAAACTGCCAGTTAAATATCCTCACCCCCTGACTTACGATATATCCTCCCCCCTGGCCTAAAACTGCCAGCGAAATATCATAACACCCCTCGTTTAAAACTGCCAGCGAAACATCATCACACCCCTCGCTTCAAACTGTCAGCGAAATATCCTCACACCCCTCGCTGAAAACTGCCAGCGAAATATCATCACATCCCTCGCTTAAAACTGCCAGGGAAATATCCTCACACCCCTCGCTGAAAAATGCCAGCGAAATATCCTCACATCCCTCGCTTAAAGCTGCCAGCGAAATATCCTCACACCCCCTGACATAAAACTGCCAGCGAAAAATCCGGATCCCCTCGCATAACACTGCCAACGACATATCCTCGACCCCCTGACTCAAAACTGCCAGCGACATATCCTCACACCCCTCGCTTAAGCCCCCCCGCGAAGCATCGTCACCCCCTGACTTAAAACTGTCAGCGAAATATACTCGCACCCCAGGCCAGAAACTGCCAGCGAAATATTCCCACACCCCTCGCATAAAACTGCCAGCGACATATCCCCACCCCCTGACATAAAACTGTCAGCGGGGTATCTTCGACCCCCTAACGTAAAACTACCAGCGAACAACTCCTCACACCCGTCGCTTTTAACTTCCAGCGAAATATCCTTACACCCCTCGCTTCGAAATGCCAGCGAAATACCATCGCACCCCTCGTATAAAACTGCTGGCGAAAAATCCTCACACCCCTCGCATAAAACTGCCAGCGAAATACCTTCACCTCAGGAAATTAAACTGCCAGCGAAATATCCTCACCCCCCTGATTAGAACTGCCGAAATATCCACACACACACACACCCTGGCCTGAAACTGCCAGCGAAACATCCTTACACCCCTCGCATAAAACTGCCAGCAACATATCCACACACACACACACACCCTGACTTAAAACTGTCAGCGACATATCCTCAACCCCCTGCCTTAAAACTGCCAGCGAGATATCCTCACACCCCTCGCATAAACCTGCCAGCGAAATAGCATCACACCCGTCGCTTAAAACGGCCAGCGAAATATCCTCACAACCCTCGCGTAACGCTGCCAGCAAAATATCCTCACACGACTCGCTTATAACTGCCAACGACATATCCTCGACCCCCTGACTCAAAACTGCCAGCGAAATATCCTCACACCCCTCGCTTAAAACTGCCAGCGAAATATCCTCACACCTTGGCCAAAAACTGCCAGCGAAACATCATCACATCCCTCGCTTAAAACTGCCAGCGAAATATCCTCACACCCCCTGACTTAAAACTGCCAGCGAAAGATCCGAAATATCCTCAACCCGCTGGCCTAAAACTGCCAGCGATATATTCACACCCCTCGCTTAAAACTGCCAGCGAAATATCCTCACACCCCTCGCATAAAACTGCCAGCGAAATATCCTCAACCCTCTGACTTACAACTGCCAGCAGCGAAATATCCTCAACCCCATCGCTTAAAACTGTCAGCGAAAAATCCTCAACCCCCTGACATAAAACTGCCAGCGAAATATCCTCACACCCCTCGCATAAAACTGCCAGCGAAATATACTCACACCCCTCGCATAAAACTGCCAGCGAAATATCGACACACCCACCCCTCGCTTAAAACTGCATGCGAAATATCCTCACACCCCTCGCATAAAACTCCCAGCGAAATATCCTCACCCCTGGAAATAGAACTGCCATCTAACGGCTTTGGTGATTCAGTTCAGTTCTGGCAGTCTACTTTCCGATAATCAAATTACGGGCTGCACCCGTAAATGAAGGTAGTGGAAACATGCGCGCTTCGCGCGCGCTTAGCTTCTAGTCTCCTCTGTGCAGCATTCCAAACAACGGCAGGGGGGCCCTGGCCGCTTGAGGTGGTTGAGCCTCCTTCGAAGCGGCTGCGGCACACGGAGCGAAACTGCCCAAAGTGCGAACAATGCCCAGAAGAGACGCAGCCCCACGGACCCTTACCGGCTGCACTGGGGTGCAGGGGACAATCATCGGGCTTGGATTGAGTGGGTCTGTTGGAGCTCTTCCTGGAGAGCCTGGGGGCTGGGACTCAAAGGTGGGCGTCTTGGGAGCGTTGGGGAGGCTTGGCGGATGCAGGGCGAGCGCGGAGGGGCCACGGAGGCGCGGGGTCTCTCCCCCAAGTGGTGGTTCGAGTTCCACTGGTTGGATTGACCCGTTTCTCGAACAACAGTTTTTTTTGGCTGAAGAGCGCGAAAGCGCAGTTTCTCGAACAACAGGCGGCAGAAGACCCCAAACAGATCACAAGAGGCAACCTGAGCGCTGTGCTATTGCTGCCCACGCGGGAAACCAGACACGGGAGACCACACGAGGGACCCCACCAGGAGACCGCACGCGGAGACCACACGGGGAAGCCACACGGGGCACCATGCGGGGAGACCAGACCGGAAGACAGACCAGAAGACCACACGAGAGAAGGAGGAGGAGGCAGGGGGAGGAGAAGGAGGAGGAGGAGGAGGAAGATGAGGAGTAGGCAGGGGGAGGAGGAGGAGGAGGAGGAGGAGGAGGAGGAGGAGGAGGAGGAGGAGGAATGCGCGGGAGACCGTGCGGAACGCGATACCGGAGGACACACGCGGGAGGCCACCACGGGGCGGCAGAACGCACGGGAGGCCCCAATGGGGAGGCCGTTCTCGGGAGGCCGCGCGGGAGACCGCGCGGGGGGGAGAGCAGGCCACGAGCCACTGGCTCCTCCTCCGCCTCCTCCGCCTCCTCCTCCTCCGCCTCCTCCCACCGGCTCCAGATCTGGAGGAACGCGCACGCACTACCCAGGAGAAGGCCGCAATGAATGCGAGTGCACACTTCGCGGCGCGAACTGTGCTCGTTTCGTAGCTTTTGGTTTGCTGGATTGTTCCAGCTGCATTTGTATATATTATGTTTCCGCCCCGACGTGCAAAGGAGAGACGGCCTACTCGCGGGATCAGAAACCGACGGCAGCCTGGCCGCAGCCCGTCAAAGGGGACACCGGCGGTCGCCTTTGCCCCCGTCGCCCCTGCGAGGAGGGAGCGCGAGGCATCGCTAGGGGCTCGCCATGGAGTCACTAGGAAGCATCGTTGTCGTCGTCTTCCATGAGGTACTCCTCGATTGGCTCGGCGTACTCTGGATGGCACGGTTTGGTCATGCAGCCGATCAGCCCCAAAGGCAAAATCCACACGGCGGCGATGAAAGTAAGTAGCACGCCGAAAGCGGCTGAGAACCACTCCGGCACCTGTGGGAAGATGGTCAGCAATTTATTCACGATGGCGATGAGCAAGAACAGTGGACCGTAATAGACAAACGTGAAAAGCTCGACTATGACGCTTCCGCACTGTTTCGGCGCACAGCAGAGGCGGCCCAGGAGGAAAGAGTTGATCGTGTTGCCGTTGATGCTGCCCCACAGCAGGAACCAGCACAGCGCGACGACGGAGCTGGCGGGTCCCCTGCCCATCTCCTCGCTCAGCTCCTCGAAGGCTGCGACGCACTTCTCGCCGCGGCCGTCGTTCTCGGTGAAGCTCCGAGCGAACGAGATGGCAGGCGAGTCCAGGATCTTCCGGCACTGCTTCGCGCTCTTGGCCTTCATCAACTCAGGGGCTTCCTGGACGCCAGCCATACGCGCGAGCTCGCCGTGGAGACCAGTGCAGTACGGGCAATCGTTCACGCTGTTCACGGTCACCATGATGGCCTCGTTCAGCTGTGGCTTTATCGCGTTCGGGCCAACGTAAGCGTCGAGGATCTTCGGGATCCGTCTCGCCACCTCAACATGGTCGGCTAAGCAGCGGCAGAGAGATGGCCAGACCTTCTTCCGGAAGCCCATCTTCTCTGCCATGGAACCCAGAGGAGACGTGGCACAAGGGCCTCTGCTGAGACTCCGAGGGCGCTCACGCTGCGCAGAAACCAGCTTGAGCCAAAATGGCTACGGAACTGTATTCTATATATTTCTATGCTTAAGTCGGGCCTGTCCCCCTACAGGGGCAGTTTCGACAAAAAATTAAAAAATACCCCAAAAATAATCAAAACATAGTCCTAAAATAGTCGGAGGACTATGTTTGGAGCATTTTTTGACCTGTTTGGGGTATTTTCGTGGCATTTCTAATTTATCGTCGAAAATCCCCCTGTAGGGGGACAGGCCCGACATAATTCTATGTTTGTTATTTCCGTGCATTTCTGCACGAAGCCCGTGCTCGACTTTCTGGGCGAACTGCAGCGTAAATACATAACGGACGCATGGTAAATCCTGACTGGACTGCTTCGACACGGTTGCCTCGAGACGCGACGTGCTTCCCCACGCAGAAGCCCTCAGGAATTCACGCGCCCCGCTTTCCCGAAATCCAGTTGGGGGTACACATCGCAAGTCTGCCCAGCACTTCATTCGGACTCCCAAGGCGCCTCCGTCACCCCTCCCGAACGCGCGCGCAACACGAGAAAATGACAGCTGGCATGGCCAAGGGCGGCATGTGCCTTGATCGTCGACTCCAAGGGGTGTAGTTTGCAGAGGGTGTGGTTCGCTAGCCAGCACCCTGGGGGGGTACCCCGGGGGGCGGGCGAGGACCCCGCCTGGGCTCGCGGCCCGCGCCCCGAGAAGGCCCGACGAGGACAGCGGCGTGATCCCCCGGCCCCAGCGGTGCCGATCGCAAGCCACACCCCGGGCTGACCACACCCGCTGCAGCTGCAGGCCAGAAGGGGCCCTCACAGACTGGCACCACATGGGAGATCATACAGCCGGCCCTGATTGGGCAGGACACGCGAGAGGACACAGGACCCTTCCGAGGGCAACACTGCCATGGGGGATGTAGGAGGCATGGGTCGCGAGGCACAGGACACTAGGAGGACGAGGAGGAGGAGCACGAGGAGGAGGGGGAGGAGGAGGAGGAACAGGAGGAGAGGGAGGAGGAGGAGTGGGAGGAAGAGGAGGGGAAGGAGGAGGAGGAGGAGGAGGAGGAGGAGGAGGAGGAGGAGGGGGAGGAGCAGGACGAGAAGGAGGGCGACCCAAGGGTACCATTGATTTGGCAGGGCCGATCTGCCGATCAGGGCTTACTGTAGAGCGCCCACGGGCCACGAGTCGCCGCGGCGGGAGCAGGAGGAGCCCGCGCGTGCCCCGAGGGGACAGAAAGGAGCCCTCGGGGGCAAGCGGCCTGGGGAGATAGACTGACTGCCTACCAGACCACCCCAACCCAACCCGAAGACCCGAATTTCGGGTTGGGGGGGGTACGGGCTTCATATGTGTTCTTGTCAATGTTTCCCAACCCCCCCCCCACTGGAAATGGAGGGCAAATCGTGGCCTTCGGGTTGGGTTGGGGCGGTTTGGTGGGCGGTGATAGACTGCGAAGGGGGAACACCTGCGCACGCAGGGTGCTCTCGAGAGCTGGGCGAGGGCTGCTAAAGCAGCCCTCCTGGAAGGAAAAAACAGCTTCCTGGAATGAGGCGCGACACGCGACGCAATCAACGGGCGTCTTCCCGGAAGGACGAAGACAGCTTCCCGGAGGTCGATTTTAGCAGCCACGGATGTAGCAGCCCTTGCCCGGCTTCCGATACTCACAGGCGCACTGGCGCACGGGAGTGTGAATCTCACACGGATGCCGCGGAGGAGCGCGGGTGTGGAGCAGCAGAGATGTCCAGAGCACCACATGCTCACACAACCCAGCGTGCAGATCTGCAGAGATGCGGCGCCGATGCTTGCTTTAGCGAGACGCAGTGCGCCGGATGTTGAACATCTGTGCCAGACAGGTGTTCAGCTCCCCGTAAGAGGTACTCCAGATTTCGTAGTAAAGGGAGGGGGGTCTCATTTCGGGGGGGGTCTCTTCCAGGCTCCCTTGAAGGGCCTAGGGGGTCTGGGGACGATGTTTTGGAGGGTTCTCCCACGGGGGAGGTCTGAAATGGCTTGTCTTGGAGGGTCCAGACCCCCTCCCTTTTATTACGAAATCTGGAGTAAGTGAAAGGTTCTCTCCTGCTTCCTCATGCTGCCCGCCAAGTTCGGACAAAGTGAGACACTGTCAGTAGGGTCTTGGCAAGTTGTTGCGCCACCTCTGGGGCCCAAGCATGGGCCAACGAATTGGGTTCTTTTGGGAGGTCTTGGGATTTGCCGGTCGCTTCGGAATCTGCATGGATGCGTGGTGAAGGGGCTGCCATGGAGGGACGAAACAGTATGGAGGATGGAAGGAAGAGGGTTGAGGACCCCTCGTCTGGGAGGGGCGGACTGGCGGTGCGACAGTTTTCAACCCCTTGGGGCCTTAACAGGCCCCAGGACAAGCAAACAACAGGCCCCGGGGAGAGGGCCCAGACCTCTGTGGGGTCCACACGTTGCGAAAAAGCCAGTCCACAAGAAACCTTCCACAAGAATCGGGGATGGACAGCCCCACCTTTAGTAAAACGTGGTTTAGTGAAAACGACCTGAGGCCCAAACCTGGCGGGCGCAAGCCTGGAAAATAACGGCCACGGCGCCCTCTCGAGAACCGAAAACGGACAATTCACTAATCGACGTGTCACTGTTGGGGGTTCTGTCCACCCCCGAAAGAAACCCGACCCTGAGACCCCAGGACATCCACTGATTTCTGGAGTGGCGACATCACGCGTTGCTTAGGTCGGGCATGTCCCCCTGCAGGCGGATTTGGGGCGAACAAAAATCTAAACAAATACTCCAAAAATACACCAAGATTCAATAATAATCGAAAAAGCGTCCCCAGACTATGTTTATACTATTTTTGAATATCCCCCCTGTAGAGGGACACGCCCGATTTCACGCTCTCCACAGCAGAACCATCGAGGCCCAAGAAGCCCAGGGCACCCTGGAGGCGAGCGAGGTGCTTCCTCGCATGGGTCTCGACTGCAAAGGGGTGGCTGCCTGGCCCACCGGGAAGGTCGACAGCGACCACATCTTCTCCGGCTCCTTCTCCTGGGCAGAGGGGGGGAGCGCTCTCCCTGAGAGGTGCGCGCTGCCTCGGAGGGGGGGCGAGGCGCTCGCGCGGAGGGGCGGCGGCGAGGGGGACGCGGGAGGGGAGAGGGGGAAATGCCAGGGAGGGCGAGGACAGGGGGGGAGACGACGCACGGAGTGCCATCCCACGGGCCCGCAGGGGGGGGAGGGGAGGACGAGGATGAGAAGGAGGAGGAGGAGGAGGACGACGACGACGACGACGACGACAACGACGACGACGAGGAGGTGTCGGCTCGGTCCTCCTCGAAGGCACGAGCCACGCTCGCCACTGCCCGGCGGGCAGCGCCTCCCGTGGAAGCTCCCGCCGGAGAAGGGACGGAGGCGGCACGAAGGGGGAGGAGGAGAAGGGAGGGGGAGGAGGATGAGGAGGAGGAGGAGGAGGAGGAGGAGGAGGAGGAGGGGAGGAGGAGGGGGAGGGGGAGGAGGAGGAGGAGGAGGAGGAGAGAGGAGGAGGAGGAGGAGGAGGAGGAGGAGAAGGGGAGGAGGGAGGAGGAGCGGACGAAGGCGGCACGGGCCGCGCGCGGCCTGCCCGAGCGCGGACCCACCGGCGGGGCTCCAGGCCGCCCGCCGCGCCCGCCGGCGCGCGCAGGGGCCGCCCGCGCCGGGGCGGAGGCCACGAGGGGCCCCGCCCCGCCTGCAGCCGCGGCAGAGGCGGGGCGCGGCCGTGCTGCTCCTCTGTCACGGGCGTGGAGCTGCACGGTGTCCCCCAGGGCCGTGGGCGACCCGAGGAGGGGGAGGAGGAGGAGGAGGAGGAGGAGGAGGAGGAGGAGGAGGAGGAGGGAGGAGGAGGAGGAGGAGGAGGAGGAGGAGAGAAGGGAGGAGGAGGAGGAGGAGGAGGAGGAGGAGGAGGAGGAGGAGGAGGAGGAGGAGGAGGAGGAGGAGGAGGAGGAGGAGGAGGAGGAGGAGGAGGAGGAGGAGGAGGAGGAGGAGGAGGAGGAGGAGGAGGAGGAGGAGGAGGAGGAGGAGGGGAGGAGGAGGAGGAGAGGAGGAGGAGGAGGAGGAGGAGGAGGAGGAGGAGGGGAAGGGGAAGGGGAAGGGGAAGGAGGGGAAGGAGGAGGAGGAGGAAGAGGAGGAGGAGGAGGAGGTCGCCTAAGACTTTCGGAGAAACCCTCCACGTGGAGCAGGCGCCCCCCAGAGATCCCACGCAGCCTTCGGCCTCCAGGGGCCCTCACCCAGCCCCTGGGCCATTGAAACACTTGTTTGATTCGCGGGTCGAGAGCGCACCTCTTCCAGTCGAAGCTAAGCGGGCCGCGCGAAGCTTGAATTAAGCAGAGATGGGGGGGGAGAAGGGGGGCGCAGCCTCAGAACGAGGCCGGGAGGAGGCAAAGCCTCGGAAACAGGCGGTGCCGAAGCCGACGTACGTGCAAAGGAGCGCCTTTTGCTTCGTCCGGCACTGGGCCATTGAAACACGTCTCAGGACGAAAGACCGGTCCTGGGGAGTGGGTCGAGCCTTCCGGGGACCCCGCATGGAAAAGATCACGACAGCGGATTTCTGGGCCTGCATGGGGCGGTGCCTCATGGGCGGGCGATGAGCGGGGGAGGGGGGGGGGAGGGGGGCGTGCACACTTCGTGCCCCTGTCGGGCCCCAGAGGTCGTTGAAGGCTTAACGACTTCTGCCGTCCTTCGACTCGCGCTGGGGCGGCCGCGAGTTGCTGCAGCTTTCCCTGGAGACCTGCGGATTGACCTGGATTTGCACAAACTTACCTGGATTTACCTCGATTGATCTGGATAGACCTGGTTTTATCTGACTCGATCCCCACAAGTCGATTGGCGAAGAGTCGTCAAGCCCTCAGGGAAGGGGGGCCTCTTCAGGGCACAGAAGGCGCACCTCTCTCTTCACCCCCTCGGTGGGCGTGAAGCAGGCGCGCCCCGGGGCGACGACCCGGGGGGTGTAAGGCCATCACCCAGCTGCACGCAGGAGTCTGGGCCTCCAAGATGGGGTCGGAGCAGCTGGGCTCGGAGGATCGCGCCGCATCGCCGATGCGTCGCCGATGCGGCTCGACGCGGAGCCCGATCTCCTCCACGCCGCCTTCGCCGGTGCATACCCGAGGCATCGGCGTACATGGGGGGGGGAGAACGTGCAGCTCTCGTGCCCCTTCTGGGCCCCCAGGGGGGCCCGATTTTAGGGCAACCTGCGGGCACGGACAGACCTCCCTTTAGTAAAACGTGGTTTAGTGAAAACGACCTCGGGCCCAAACCTGGCCGGCGCAAGCCTGCAAAAAATAACGGCCGCGGCGCCCACTCGAGAACCGAAAACGGACAATTCAGTAATCGACGTGTCAGGGTGGGAGGTCTGTCCACCCCCGAAACCTACGGGCACAGCAGGTGCACGAGAGCAGCGTGTTGGCCGTGCGCGGCCGGGCCCCCCCCCCCAAAGAGAGCACGCCACGAAGCCGTGCGGAGCTCCTGGTGGTCCTTGGCGGTCGCCAGTGAAGGGGCCCTGGGACACACAGATAAATACACACACAAATCGAAACATCCCTCTATTTTCCCTTATTTTCTGGATTTTTGTCTTCCTCCCCACTCCCCATATTTTCCCCTATTTTATGGGGAAGCGACGATTCATTGTGTCTGTGTGTTTCTTTCCATCCTGAGCTAGACAGTCCCAGACGCCGCCGGCGCGAGACGCAGAGGCAGCCTGACCACCGCCCCTCCCCTCCCCTCCCCTGGTAAGGCCCGCTCTCGCAGAGGGACAGGACGCTGCCAGGCTCGGATCGATGAGTCGAATCGGCGATCGAGATGGATCGGATCGGCGGAAATCGGCAGCCGAGTCGGGAAACATCGAGTCGGCGGGCACCGGCGGGCTAGTAGGCCACCAGCAAGAAATCGGAGCCCAGAGCGAAATCCCAAGTAGAATCGAATCGAAACCGGAAGCCATCGAAATCGAATCGAATCGAATCGGAGGAATCGAAAGGAGCCCTCGTCGTGGGCGGCCAGGCGTGAGCGACGAGCGCAGACTCGTCTCGCGCGAGGTGGCTCAGCGACCGCAGCGCCCTCACACGCCGCAGCTTGCGAGGCCGGGCCGACATCGCGGCACGTCGGGAGGAGCCGAGGGCGCTCGCGCGCGGCCGCGCGCGGGCAGCGTTTGCGCGCCAGTGCCGACGCAGACGGCCCCCTGCTGCCGCGACTGGGGGCTGACATGCGAACCCTACCCCTACAGTCGGGGCGTTGACCTAAGGAACCCTAAATAAGGAACGAAGCCCCTTTTTTCCACAAGTTAAGCTTCGATTTCCTGTCGAAAACATAAGGAAAGCCTGAGGCAAGCTGTGAAACACTTCAGGAACGCGGAGCCCCTCCCCAACGAAAAGGGTTCCTTCTTCAGGGCCCCGACTGTCCCCCCCACGGTCTCTGAGGGGGAGGGTGGGGCTCACTTCGCTCGGGAACTCCCGAGCGAAGTGAACCCCAGCCTCCCCCTCAGAAGCCATGGGGGGCAGGGGCAGGGCTCGCATGTCAGCCCCCCTAGCGACGACCGAGATGCCTGGACGCCCGAGGGCGCGGGGGACGGCAGGGCCTCTGGACCAGCGGCGCCCAGGCGCGAGGGGGCGACGGCAGCAAGGGCGCCGGCGGCGAGCCCAGGGGGGGGGGGAAGGGAGAAGGAGAAGGCCTACTCAGCAGGGGTAGCGACGGCAGCAGCAGCAGCGCTGGCGGCGAGCCCAGGGGGGGGGGAGGGGGAAGTGAGAAGGAGAAGGCCTACTCAGCAGGGGTAGCGACGGCAGCAGCAGCGCTGGCGGCGAGCCCAGGGGGGGGGAGGTGTGTATGGGGTTGAAGTACAAGAGTACAGAACCCCTGATCCGTTGGTAGAGAGATGGAGGGATAGATGGATATCTTTCCCTCCCAAGCGATCAAGGTACGATCGCTCCAACTCAGTACCTGAGCCCAAACGGCCAGGTGCGGGAGAGGTAAGGATAAGGAGTATATATGAGGGTATTACACGGGTTCCATACACACCCCCCGTCCCGAATCCCGCCCGTGAAGGCAGGACTCGGGATCAGGAAGATGGAATCCGTAACCTCAGAACTCCTTTACCTTAAGTCTGAAAAGGCAGCTGGGCTAAAAGTCAGCGAAGCCACAGCTGCAAAGTGAGGTAAGAAGAGATACCTTGGGTCTCTTTTTCTTCTCCAGGCGGTCTTTGCCGCCCCCTCGGTGCGCCCCCCAAAACGCTTCGGCACTCGAGGGAGGAGAAGAATGAGACAAAGGTAGGCGGAGAAAGAAGATCTGAGCATCAAGGCAACGTAAACCGCCTCGCAAGATTTGCGAGGCAGGTGTTGCCACCAGCTATCAGATTATTCTCGACGCAATATTGTTAAATTGTTAAAATATGCATGCTAAGATCGCGTTGATGAACACAATCTTGAAATCAAACACAAGTCTGCCTAAAAGCAAATGTATGCCCAGATCGCGTTGACGAACACGATCCTGAAAGAAATGCAAATCTGCGTTAAATCAAGTACCTGGCCAGGAGAAAATGTCGTGTTGATGAACACGAAAATGATGTATAAAATCTGTTTGGCGACTCCCGTTGGCGTTGCTCCTTAGGAGGCTGCCTCGGTGATCGCAAAAGATATCTATATGTGTGTATGGCCACTTGTGTGAAAGATTGAAGTGGCCTAAAAGAATGCATTAGCCACCGCTCAAGGCGAACTTTGTTGAACGGAAGTTCTGCACTTGAGCAGTGGGCCTTGCGGCCGACTCACTACGCGTCGCCGTCCTTGTAGAACCTGCGGTCCCACACCCTCTGGCCGTTGTACGTCACATAGCTTGTCGTAAACGTTTCCCAAGTGGTCCTCGGGATCCAGTTGCGGAACCAATCGTTGTACGTGATATCCTGGATGTACACATACTCGTCGTTGTTGATCGCAATGTAGATCCAACATCTGATGTAATAACTCCAGCATCGAAGACCCCAATCGCTGTCCTCGAGATTGTGGCGCCAGTAAGCAGCGTAATCAGATGTACGTGCT